TCCCCTGTGTGCCTTGTCGACTCAGTTATATATATATGTATATATATATACACTCCTCCCCAAAATTAAAGAATCATCTATTTTGATCGCTAAAAATAGGCAAATTTCAAAAGAGTGTAACTTCGTCAAAAATGATCGTAACAGAATGATCCAAAAAGCATTTTACAGCTTAAAGTTTCTACTTTCGAAATCCATAATTCATTAAATGACTTACTGATTCTTTACAAAGCTACACGAATGCAAATGGAGATGCATCAAATTTAAAGATTTTGTACTAAGTTTGCAAAGTTCCATGGAGTGCAATAAAAATCGCATACAAATGCGACTTGCAGCATTCGAAAGGATGAATCTTTACCTTTAATTTGCATGCTTGATCAGCATTGTGCAATTTTTTTTCACCGAGTTATTCAATATGGAAGCAAAAATGGTCCTTTTCAATTCAATGTTGAATAACTCGGTGAAAAAAAATTGCACAATGCTCATCGAGTACGCAAATTAAAGATAAAGATTCACGCTTTCGAACGCTGTAAGTCGCATTTGTATGCAAATTTTATTTTAATTTTTGGAACTTTGCAAAGTTCGTAAAAAAGATCTGTCACATATCAAAATTCTCTCCAAAATTTAAAAGATTCCATCATCCGAATTAAAAATCGCACATAAATGAAGATTACATTTTTCGAAAGCATGAATCTTTAGCTTTAATCTAAGCATTCGATCAGCATTGTGCGATTTTTTTTCACCGAGTTACTTAACATTGAAGTAAAAATGATCCTTATGCTTCAACATTGAATAACTTGGTGAAAAAAAATCGCAAAATGCTCAACGAGTATGCAAATTAAAGGTAAAGATTCACGCTTTTAAGCAGGGGCTAGGGATTATAATTCACGTAGTTATTGTAATCTCTTACAAAAATATTACATTCGACGGACCACACGCGTGTAGTTACTGTAATACGAATATTAAAGTGGTCAACTTATTATAGTAGACACATTACAAGGCATTAATATTTGTGTGTGGTTATTGTGATATTTTCCTGTAGTTATTGTAGTATTTGGATTAGACGAATTACAATTCCTAGCCGGTGCGTCTTTTTCGTAAAGGCATGTACACTGGAAATCGTGCCAAACGTCATTGTCGCGCATCAGCAGATAATCGTCAATCGACATTTTGAAGTTTGATCTCTAATAACGCACACTGTAGTGCTGTTTTATACCGCAATCGACACAACATTCGACGGATCTCCGCAAACACTTCAGGCGAACTCTCTGTAGAAAATCACGTGACGCAAAAAAATCGGAGCTACGTCTACACGATTACTCACTCAATTTTCAATCTTTTTTTCTCTAATAGAGAGATTTCTCTAATATCCTCCGATATTGCGTAAGTGATTGACTAAGGATGAGAACAAGACTCCTGACATTTCACTTATACAAGACAAATATATGTTACGCGTGGCTGCGAACCACTCAATGATCGCGAGTTGGATGTCTACAGCCTTACGTGACTCAGTTAATCCGCGTGTTCTCGGTATTACTCATTCGCGATATTAATCAAGCTCTGAAAGCGAGCGCAATTTCGCGGAAAAATCGATTTCTCGTTGAAAAACGCGTTTCGTAAGAGAGACTTCGATGCGAGCGCGCAAATCGCGCGATTTCCGTGAATTTTCAAATTAATGATTGCCTCGCCGTCGACGCTGACGATCTAACGTTTCACGGGCGTAATCGGTTTAAACGTTTGCGGGCATTGCTTAATTCTAAGTCTAAGCGGTCTCTTCGCCACGGGAGGGAAAGAGAGAGAGGGAGACGGAGAGGATGGGAGAACGCGGGTATATGCTTTGAGCGTATATAAATCCTCGCGCACTTTACGTGCGTCGTGAATATGCAATATTTATCTCAAAACGTAATGAACTTGGGCAGCGCGCGGGCAGCTATAGTTAAATAACTAATTAAAACGCCGTCGCGAAATTGACAGTCCACACATTTTTATTTTAGCGGTTTTACGAACAGAAATAATTAACACACACTTTGCGCGCGTAAGCTCTGTGGAATTTCTTACTCAATAAATTGTGAGTGTATACCCTCTTACACAAGTTGCCTTATACAGATTGAAATATTCCTCGACGAATCCACAAATGATTTTTCCTTTCGGTGGAAATGTTTTATCGGTGAAGAAAATATTTTTCAAACACTTAAAAACGATAATAATTTTTAATCTTGTACAAGAGGATGATTTAACTATATGCTTCATTTTGTGATTAATTCTCTGACTCAACGCATTGAATATTTTACTTGTTATTCCATTTTTATTATTGTAGTAAAGAGGACTTGAGCAAGAGTCGAGTCGAAACGTTTACGTTCTAAATTATTATCGCTTTTAAGTGTTTGGAAAACACTTAAGCAGTGAAGTCAATTTATTCTTAATTTGACTTCACTGTTTAAATGTTTTTTCAAACACTTAAAAGCGATAATTTTTAATTTTGGACATGATGACGATTCGACTATGTTTCATTTTATGATTGACTCTCACAACGCATTGGATATTCTACTGTTTATTCCGTTTTTACCTGTACTGAAGATGATTCGAACAATAAGTCGAAACGTTCACGCTTTAAATTAT